AACCGTCTGTTGAACCGTCTGTTGAACCGTCTGTTGCACCGTCTGTTTAACCGTCTGTTGAACCGTCTGTTGAACCGTCTGTTGCACCGTCTGTTTAACCGTCTGTTGAACCGTCTGTTGAACCGTCTGTTGCACCGTCTGTTGCACCGTCTGTTGAACCGTCTGTTGAACCGCCTGTTTAACCTTCCGTTGAACCGCCTGTTGAACCGTCTGTTTAACCTTCTGTTGAACCTGTCTCTTATACACATCTAGATGTGTATAAGAGACAGGAATGAAGGGTGAATGACTGATGAATGAAGGGTGAATGAAGGGTGAATGGCTGGTGAATGAAGGGTGAATGGATGGTGAATGAAGGGTGAATGGCTGGTGAATGAAGGGAGAATGAAGGGTGAATGAAGGGTGAATGAAGGGCGAATGGCTGGTGAATGAAGGGTGAATGGCTGGTGAATGAAGGGTGAATGAAGGGTGAATGAAGGGAGAATGGCTGGTGAATGAAGGGTGAATGAAGGGAGGATGGCCGGTGAATGAAGGGTGAATGAAGGGTGAATAAGAGTAATGGGTTATTGAAATAATCATGCTAACGTATAATTGATAAACTTATCAATTATTATTATTATTATCAATTATATTAAATTATTTATTATCAATAAACTTTAATTGATAATAAACTGACAAAACGGTAATTATAAGTATCTTTTTTCAATTAATTTGTTATATGAAGTTGTAGGTAACACAGTAATAATTTCAATGGTAAATTTAGGTTAAATGAAACTTGCGGGACAAAAGGGTAACTTTTTCAATTAATTTGTTATATGAAGTTGTAGGTAACACAGTAATAATTTCAATGGTAAATTTAGGTTAAATGAAACTTGCGGGACAAAAGGGTAACTTTTTCAATTAATTTGTTATATGAAGTTGTAGGTAACACAGTAATAATTTCAATGGTAAATTTAGGTTAAATGAAACTTGCGGGACAAAAGGGTAACTTTTTCAATTAATTTGTTATATGAAGTTGTAGGTAACACAGTAATAATTTCAATGGTAAATTTAGGTTAAATGAAACTTGCGGGACAAAAGGGTAACTTTTTCAATTAATTTGTTATATGAAGTTGTAGGTAACACAGTAATAATTTCAATGGTAAATTTAGGTTAAATGAAACTTGCGGGACAAAAGGGTAACTTTTTCAATTAATTTGTTATATGAAGTTGTAGGTAACACAGTAATAATTTCAATGGTAAATTTAGGTTAAATGAAACTTGCGGGACAAAAGGGTAACTTTTTCAATTAATTTGTTATATGAAGTTGTAGGTAACACAGTAATAATTTCAATGGTAAATTTAGGTTAAATGAAACTTGCGGGACAAAAGGGTAACTTTTTCAATTAATTTGTTATATGAAGTTGTAGGTAACACAGTAATAATTTCAATGGTAAATTTAGGTTAAATGAAACTTGCGGGACAAAAGGGTAACTTTTTCAATTAATTTGTTATATGAAGTTGTAGGTAACACAGTAATAATTTCAATGGTAAATTTAGGTTAAATGAAACTTGCGGGACAAAAGGGTAACTTTTTCAATTAATTTGTTATATGAAGTTGTAGGTAACACAGTAATAATTTCAATGGTAAATTTAGGTTAAATGAAACTTGCGGGACAAAAGGGTAACTTTTTCAATTAATTTGTTATATGAAGTTGTAGGTAACACAGTAATAATTTCAATGGTAAATTTAGGTTAAATGAAACTTGCGGGACAAAAGGGTAACTTTTTCAATTAATTTGTTATATGAAGTTGTAGGTAACACAGTAATAATTTCAATGGTAAATTTAGGTTAAATGAAACTTGCGGGACAAAAGGGTAACTTTTTCAATTAATTTGTTATATGAAGTTGTAGGTAACACAGTAATAATTTCAATGGTAAATTTAGGTTAAATGAAACTTGCGGGACAAAAGGGTAACTTTTTCAATTAATTTGTTATATGAAGTTGTAGGTAACACAGTAATAATTTCAATGGTAAATTTAGGTTAAATGAAACTTGCGGGACAAAAGGGTAACTTTTTCAATTAATTTGTTATATGAAGTTGTAGGTAACACAGTAATAATTTCAATGGTAAATTTAGGTTAAATGACAATTGTATTTCTTGCGTGAAAATGTTACCCGCTCCTGCAGCCGCGTTCACGTAGAGTGCTAATTTGCCGACCTTGCTTCGTGAACGTGAGATTTCATTGATAAAGTTTGTGTTTTTATATTAAATTATTTATTTAAATACGTTTATGATATAGAAATTTATTTTATAAATATCTGAAATTTATTATATATATATTTTTACTAAATATATTTTAATGCAAAAAAATCTATTTATAAATTTCTAAAAATAGATAATATATACTTTTTTATTATATGTATATATTTATGAACATGGATAAAGAGTTTATTGCACTGTAATGTTGATATACAGTCTGTTGCACCGCCTGTTTAACCGTTTGTTGAACCGCCTGTTTAACCTTCTGTTGAACCTTCTGTTGAACCGTCTGTTGAACCGTCTGTTTAACCGTCTGTTGAACCGTCTGTTGAACCGTCTGTTGCACCGTCTGTTGCACCGTCTGTTGCACCGTCTGTTGCACCGCCTGTTGCACCGTCTGTTGCACCGTCTGTTGCACCGTCTGTTGAACCGTCTGTTGAACCGCCTGTTTAACCGTCTGTTGAACTAACCGGATGAACGCAAATAAATATATTATATTTAAATAATAGACTTTAATTATAAATAAATAAATAAATAAATAATAATTATTCATTAAAGTTTAAATTTTATGCGGAATTAAAAGGCAGGCAAAATGGCGGGAAACTGAGGTGCCGTGAACACGTTCAGGACATGTTAGGGTGCCGCGTGCTCTCTATAACTGCTATATTATTTAATTAATATAATATAACTATAATATAACTAGCTTTAACTTTACCACGTTGAATGTTGCGAGGAGAGGGGGAATGGGGGGAGGGGATATCATTGAGGAGAGGGGGAAAAGGGGGGAGAAGGGTCAATAAACCCCCCTACTCCCCCCGTTCTTTTACTGAGTGAGGAGAGAAAAAAAAACCCTCACCCACTCCTCCCGTTACCAAGAAGATAATTGGGGGTGAGAGTTGGGGGGGAAACGGGGGATATTTTATAAACCCGGGGTAAGGAGAGAAGAGCCGAGGAGCTGCGGATAACAAGGGCATAACGCTCGGCTCGGCTGCACGCTATTGGTCAGTTTGCCTGTAACAGCGTCACGTGACCAGCAAGCGGCGCTGCTATTGGCTGGTTTTACACTGTTGCTGTGACGTCACATTTTTCATCACGTGACCCTTTCAGTTGCCGCTCTGCTTTCTTACTGTGTGGATGTGTGCTCGACTAATGCGCATTTTCTCGTACTTTTTAGTGGTTTAAGCTTATTGTGAAGTGATAATATTAATAGAATTTGATGTGGAAGGTTCGAGAACAATACTGATGTGTTTTATAGGCTGTATAAGTTCTTAAAATAGGCTAAAAGCCGGTGAAAACTAGCTGCATTGCTATACGTACATCCCGCGAAATCTCGAAACTCTGTCAAATCAGCTGTTTTCCATGTGATGCCTGCTTGCTGGCACATTTTTGCCGGTGTTTGTTTACTCTGCAATAAGTAATAAGCTTTCCCAGGTTTGTTATTAGCAAGTAAATAGTTTATAACAGCATATAATGTCCGCATGACCCCCCCTCCATCCCCGCCATGTCGCCCCACCGCCACCACCGTGTGCTGTTCATGCCTACCTGTTAATTCTGTTAACGTTTGTTTTGAACCTAAACGTTTGTTGCTATCTTCATTACTTGATTACAAACGTTTATATTGCATTTTCCTATAGTTTTCTTCATGTAGTCTCGTGATATGATGTGTGATGTGATGATGGTGGTGACGTACACGCGTGTACGCGGGTGACTGTGCGTGCGTGCGTGCGTATGTACGTGCTGCGGTGGTGACGTACACGCGTGTACGCGGGTGACTGTGCGTGCGTGCGTTCGTATGTACGTGCTGCGGTAACGGCCTGTGCGTGTACACTTCGCTTCAAGTGTGTACGTCGGTATGTCCGTGTACGTATAGAGATTGTGTACGCGCTCGAACAAAGCGAGTGGGGAGAGAGGGGAGGTGAGGGGCGGGGGGATGGGATAGAGAGGGGAGAGGGAGGGGAAGTGTGTGAGGGGGACACGCGTACACGCGTGTACGCTGCTTGTCGGTGTGTGCGTGCAGACACGTACATGAACTTCTACACGAGGCTGTGTGTACTGATAATGATGACTTGTGTGTTGTATATATATACATATACACTATCTATGTACATATATATATATATACTATCTATATATACATATACATTATCTATAATGTATATACATACCCCCTTGTGTAATGGGTGCCTCGTACTCATTGTATATATATTGTATATGTATACACATTGTATATTTATATATATACCACTGTGTGCATATATATACCCTATCCTATGGACACGGTGCCCCATGGGGACATTGTGCCCCATTGAGCACAGTGCCCCCCATTTGTGGGGACACTGTCCCCACAAATGTCCCCAAATGTTATGGGGACATTTGCTCCCCCCTGTGTTTGTCTTGGGGACTTGGTGCCCCATGGGACCTGCCCCGGGTCCCCATGGGGCACCATGGGGAGACGGTCTACCGTCTGTAGGGTCTAGACGGTCTACCTCTACGGTAACATTAAGAATCTGCCACCTGCCTCTTCACCACCTGCCTCTTCACCACCTGCCTCTTCACCACCTGCCTCTTCACCACCTGCCTTTTCACCACCNATTAATATTGTATATCAATACAAGACCACACAAGTTTCATGTTTTATGTACATTTTAACGTCCGTTTTATTCTGTATGCTCAATAAATCCCATCATTTCATAGTACAACATTATATACATCTAAATAATTATAATATATATATTACTTATATTATAATATTAATTATATAATTGCCATTGTCTATTAATTGCCATTAGCGTCTAGACTAACAGGACTTATTTTTAATTAATATATAAAAATTAATAATTTTTATATATTATTTTTTATATAATATATTTTTATATAATATTTTTATATTTTTTATAAATATATATAAGATTAATAATAAACTTATATTATTATTATTAATATTATAATATTAATTATATACCCATCTTTTATGAAGCTGTTCATAATCTTTTTTCAGATGATATATCCAGCAATGATAGCTTAAAGATCTCAAAGTATTCAACACTTACAATATACAGTATATACTGCTTGTCATATATATATATATATACTGTATTTCATATATACTCTGAGCTTCATAAGCTGCTTTACTGATATAAAGTTGATATTAAAGGCAACTTCTGCATCTTCAGGTGAGATAAATCCTGTTTTTACCCTCATTTAACCTGTTTTTACCCTCTTTTACCTCTTTTACCCTCATTTACCCTGTTTTATCCTGATTTTCCTTAATTTACCCCGTTTTACCTTCATTAACCCTGTTTTTACCCTCATTTACCCTGTTTTTACCCTCATTAACCCTGTTTTTGTCCTCATTTACCCTGTCTTTACCCTCATTTAAGCTTGTTTTTACCCTCATTTACCCTGTCTTTATCCTCATTTACCCTGATTTACCCTAATATACCCCTGTTTTTACCCTCATTTACCCTGTTTTACCCTCATTTACCCTGTCTTTACCCTCATTTACCCTGTTTTATCCTGATTTACCCTGATATACCCCCTGTTTTTACCCTCATTTACCCTGTCTTTGCCCTCATTTACCCTGTTTTACCCTCATTTACTCTATTTTTACCCTCATTTACCCTGTTTTATCCTGAGTTATCCTGCTTTTACCCTCATTTACCCTGTATTTACCTCATTTACCCTGTTTTTCTCATTTACCCTGTTTATACTCTCATTTACCCTATTTTACCCATATTTACCCTGTTTTTACCTTCATTTACCCTGTTTTTACTCTCATTTACCCTGTTTTTAACCTCATTAACCCTGTTTTTACCCTAATTTGCCCTGTTTTTACCTCATTTAAGCTGTTTTTACCCTCATTAACCCTGGTTTTACCCTCATTAACCCTGGTTTTACCCTCATTAACCCTGGTTTTACCCTTATTTACTCTGTTTTACCCTCATTTACCCTCTTTTTACCCTCATTAACCCTGGTTTTACCCTTGTTAACCCTGGTTTCACCCTCATTAACCCTGTTTTTACCCTCATTTGCCCTGTTTTTCTCATTTATCCTGTTTATACTCTCATTTACCCTATTTTACCCATATATACCCTGTTTTTACCTTAATTTACCTGTTTCATCCTGATTTACCCTGTATTTACCCTCATTTACCCTGTCTTTACCCTCATTTACCCTGTTTTTACCCTCACTTGCCCTGTTTTTACCCTCATTTGCCCTGTTTTCACTCTAATTTGCCCTGTTTTTACCCTCATTTAGCCTGTTTTATTCTCATTTACACTGGTTTTAGCCTCATTTACCTGTTTTACTCCATTTACCCTGTTATATACTCTCATTTACCCTTTCATTAGCCCTGTTTACCCTGTTTTACTCTGATTTACCCTGTTTTACTCTGATTTACCCTGTTTTTAGCCTCATTTACCCTGATTTTAAGCCTCATTTACCCTGTTTTACCGTCATTTACCTTCATCTACCCTGTTTTACACTCAGTTACCCTGTTTTTAGCCTTGTATTTACCCTGGTTTTAGCCTGTATGGCGCTGTATTTTCGCGATTTTTGTACATCCCTGCTGCTTTATATTGTATATTTAATAATTTGGTATGTATAGTTAGTCTGAAGGATATGTATACATCAAGCATATATAATGTATATTATGTAATATGTAAAATTTAATATAATATTGAAGAGAATAGAGCTACAAATTACTTTCTTTTCTGAATTGCTCACTTTTAACAAAGAACAAGATTTTCAAACACCATTTATCATGAAACAAGTGCAAATCTATGTAACCAAAAGGTACCTATACGCTTGCATGAACAAATGTTATAATAAAAATACAGCCAATTTTGATAGTTGTCTTTAATTAAATTTTTGATTAATATAAAATGTTTTAAATGGGTAATAGGTATATAATTTTAATAAATATTTTCATGCGCAGCAATCAAAGATGGCCGACAACGAGGCTGCCGTCACGGCTCCTGCCAGAGGTACGAGAAGTGCAGGCATATATATACTTAACCAACGAGGCTCCTGCCAGAGGTAAGAGAAGTGCAGGCATATATATACTTAACCAACGAGGCTCCTGCCAGAGGTAAACCTGTCTCTTATACACATCTAGATGTGTATAAGAGACAATATATATACTTAACCATCTACTTATTATACATGTCATACATATCATACATACTATATTTTGTGGTAAAAAATAGTCAACTGACAACAATATTTGTCTGTGTGCAGATGAGGCCAAAGTGACAAACGGGGCCGCGGCCGATGGCCTCGAAACGGCCAAAATGGCCAATGGGGACGTGGCCTCTTCTGTGGTTAATGGCAAATCATCATCTGATGATGATGTTAAATCATCCCATAATGATGATGGTGGCCATAATAATGATGGTGGTGACCATAAAGATGCTGGTGGCCATAATAATGATGGTGGTGGCCATAATGATGGCCATAAAGATGGCCTGAAGGCTCTTGGAAAAGCGGCCACTAACGGTCAGGCCGGCGAGGGTAAAGAAAAACAAGAAACTGCAGCAAAAGACAATGAAGACGATGAAATAAAGGAAGTGAGTCAGGGTGACTCAAATAAAACGTCTGATGACCCACTTAAAGGCCATGACCCACTTAAGACTGATGACCCACTTAAGAGCGATGACCCACTTAAGAGTGATGAACCACTTAAAGCTGACGACCCACTTAAAGCTGACGACCCACTTAAAGCTGACGACCCACTTAAAGCTGGTGACCCACTTAAGGCTGACGACCCACTTAAGAGTGATGACCCACTCAAATCTGATGACCCACTTAAAGCTAATGACCCACTCAAATCCGATGACCCACTTAAATCCGATGACCCACTTGAAACCGGTGACCAACCTAAAACCGACGAACTACCTAAAACTGATGACCCACTTAAGCCCGACGATGCAGGTGGAGCTAATGACCCACTTAAGCCCGATGACCCACTTAAGCCCGACGATGCAGGTGGGGCTAATGACCCACTTAAGTCCGACGATGCAGGTGGGGCGGAGACCCCTAAGAAAAAGAAGAAGAAAAAGCCATCATCGTCCCTGGATGATGACGGCACACCTAAAGAGATGAGGAGGTCCTCCCGTCAGCGCAAGCCTGTCAGCTACGTGGATGATGTCAAGATAGTAGCGAGGCCCGATGATAACAAGGGCGGCAGTGATGTGGAAATGATAGAAGAGAGGGACCCACTTGCTGTCGACGACAAGAGGGCAAAGGTGGGTCAAGAGTAATAGGGTAATGGTAAGTAATGATGTCAAGATAGTGAGGTCCGATGATAGCAAGGGCGGCAGTGATGTAGAAATGATAGAAGAGAGGGACCCACTTGCTGTCGACGACAAGAGGGCAAAGGTGGGTCAAGCGTGTTGGTAAGGTGGGTCAAGGGTAGTGGTAAGGTGGGTCAAGGGTAATGGTAAGGTGGGTCAAGGGTAGTGGTAAGGTGGGTCAAGGGTATTGGTAAGGTGGGTCAAGGGTAATGGTAAGATGGGTCAAGGGTAATGGTAAGATGGGTCAAGGGTATTGGTAAGGTGGGTCAAGGGTAGTGGTAAGGTGGGTCAAGGGTAGTGGTAAGGTGGGTCAAGGGTAATGGTAAGGTGGGTCAAGGGTATTGGTAAGGTGGGTCAAGGGTGATGGTAAGGTGGGTCAAGGGTAATGGTAAGGTGGGTCAAGGGTAATGGTAAGGTGGGTCAAGGGTGCATTTCTGACTCATCTCTTGGATGATGGGTCATTCAGTTGTTTAATATTGATGATTTATAACATATTTATACATACATTTTATTTTCTGTATGGTACTGTAGATTTACATATAATATATTTATATATATTTACATATAATATACATATAATATAGATATACAACATATAACACATGTATACCCCCCCAGGGTATATACATATATCCCATATACAGACCTAGAATATAAACTAATAATATATATTAGTGTAATATTATATTAGTAATTAGTAAGTAATTAGTAGATATATTAGTGTGATATTATATTGTAATTAGTATATATATTAGTGTAATATATTAGTAATTAGTAAGTAATTAGTATATATATAAGTGTATTATTATATTGTATTAGTAATATATTAGTGATGTAATATACAACATATAACACCTATATCTCCCCCCCCCAGGGGCGCGGCGCCCCCCAGAATGTCATCGTTATAGACACGAACACGCTGCTGCGCAACCAGGGCAACCTGGCTGCTGTGGTCGCTGCTCAGCAATCAACCACAGCATCTACCACAGCAGCTACAACCATGCAGCACCTCAACCAGCAGATCAATAACCACTCAATCACCCTCACTCAGCACCCCTCAGCACCCTCAGCACCACAGCAGCAGCAGCAGCAGACGGCACAGCAAATGCTGCAGAGTGCTGCGCAGAACGTCACCAGCGTGGGGGGTAACCTCAATATTGGGGGTGAGTGCTTAGTGTTGCTTAGTGTAGCTTAGTGCTGTTTAGTGTAGCTTAATAGTGCTGTTAGTTAGACCTAATAGTGCTGCCTAGCGCTGCTAGTGTAGCCAATTCAGGAGTACTGCTGCCAGCTTTGGGCGCCGCTTAAGGCGAGTGCTTAGTGTTGCTTAGTTTTGCTTAGTGTAGCTTAGTGTTGCTTAGTGTAGCTTAGTGCTGCTTAGTGTTGCTTAGTGTAGTTAATAGTGTTGTTTGTTAGACCTAATAGTGATGCCTAGCGCTGCTAGTGTAGCCAATTCCTGAGTACTGCTGCCAGCTTTGGGCGCCGCTTAAAGCGAGCGCTGCGCAGAACGTATTTGGGGTGAGTGCTTAGTGCTGCTTAGTGTAGCTAAATAGTGTTGCTTAGTGTAGTTAATAGTGTTGTTTGTTAGACCCAATAGTGCTGCCTAGCGCTGCTAGTGTAGCCAATTCCTGAGTACTGCTGCCAGCTTTGGGCGCCGCTTAAAGCGAGCGCTGCGCAGAACGTCACCAGCGTGGGGGGAAACCTCAATATTGGGGGTGAGTGCTTAGTGTAGTTAGTAGTGCTGCTAGTTAGACCTAATAAGACCTAATAATGCTGCCTAGCGCTGCTAGTGTAGCCCATTCTGGAGTACTGCTGCCAGCTTTGGGCGCCGCTCAAAGCGAGCGCTGCGCGAACGTATTTGGGGTGAGTGCTTAGTGCTGCTTAGTGTAGCTTAGTGTAGTTAGTAGTGCAGCTTAGTGTAGCTCGAAAATGCTGGTAGTTAGTCCTAATAGTGCTACCTAGCGCTGCTAGTGTAGCCCATTCCCAAGTACTGCTGCCAGCTTTGGGCGCCTCTCAAGGCGGGCGATGCGCAAAACGTCACCAGCGTGGGGGGAAACCTCAATATTGAGGGTGAGTGCTTAGTGCTGCTTAGTGTAGCTTAATAGTGCTGCATTGTGCAGTTAATAGTGCGTCTTAGTGTAGCTTAATAGTGCTGCCTAGCGCTGCTAGCGTAGCCCATTTTGGAGTACTGCTGCCAGCTTTGGGCGCCTCAATATTGTGGATGAATGTCAACCTTGCACTGATAGTTTTAGTGTTTAATTATACAATTATAGGATAGTTGTGTATAGTTTTATTGCATAATTGTACAGTTATATGATAATTGTGTATAGTTTTAATGTATAATTGTGTATAGTTTTAAAGTTTAATTGTACTATTATAGGCATCAACCTGTCGGCGGCCGCCATCGCTAACAACCCCGCGGCGCTGCAGAACGCGATAGCCGCCATCACTGGGGGGCCCAACGCCCCCCCTGGCCTCAAGAACGCCTACATCACCGCCGTGCAGCAGGTGGGTGCCCCCTACATCACCTACAGCAGGTGGGTGCCCCCTACATCACCTACATCAGGTGCCCCCCTACATCACCTACAGCAGGTGGGTGCCCCCTACATCACCTACATCAGGTGGGTGCCCCCCTACATCACCTACATCAGGTGGGTGCCCCCCTACATCACCTACATCAGGTGGGTGCCCCCCTACATCACCTACATCAGGTGGGTGCCCCCCTACATCACCTACATCAGGTGGGTGCCCCCCTACATCACCTACATCAGGTGGGTGCCCCCCTACATCACCTACATCAGGTGGGTGCCCCCCTACATCACCTACATCAGGTGGGTGCCCCCCTACATCACCTACATCAGGTGGGTGCCCCCCTACATCACCTACATNTCACCTACATCACCTACCTCTCCCTGATGCAGGTGCTGCTACAGCAGCAGGCTGCAGCTAACACTACACCAGCAGGCCAGCAGTACCTACATCACCTACATCAGTACTACAACACGCTGGGGGCGCTACGAGACGAGGCCTACGTCATCGAGGCGCCGTCCTTCATCGTGCCCTACGTGATGGAGGGCAAGCCTAAGGTATGGGTTATTATTTTTATTTTTTGTATTATAAGATAATATAATAATATATCTATACTGATAATATAATGATATATTTACAATGATGATATAATAATATATGTACACTGATGATATAATAATATATCTATACTGATAATATAATGATATATCTATACTAATGATATAATAATATATGTACACTGATGATATAATAATATATCTATACTGATATAGTTATACTGATAATATAATAATGTTACGTATTTAGACCTACATTATATCTAGTTCAGTCCCCGTCGCCAGATTTGTTGTGGTCCCCCAGCGAAAATTTGCACAGAAAACGAAATTATTTTCTTAATTTTAATTATATAAGATGTACATTAATTATTATTATTATTTAGGTGTAGAATAATTATCTCGTTTTTACATCCACATTAATTAGATCTGTCCATACATCGTGTGATTGTTAATTTTTACATTACATTTTATTTTTTATTTACATTACATTATAATTTTTATTTATTATTTTACATTTTATATGTTATTATATTTTATTTTTTATTTATTTTATATTTATTTTTTATTATTATTTTATTTAATTTTACATTACATTACCGTATAATTTTTTTTTACTTACAAATTTTTCTAAGTGTACTTATATATTTACAGGAGAACATCAAAGATTTCTTGAAACAGTTCAACAAGAAGCAAATAGAGCTGGAGAAAAAGGAGAAACTGGAGCTGGAGAAGAAACTGGAGCAAGAGAAAAAAGAGAAGCTGGAGCTTGAAAAAGAAGAAAAATTGGCAAAAGAAGCTGAAAAAAGCAAAAATAGAAGTGAAGAAGAAGCTAAAACCGAGGAAAAAAATGATAAGAAAGAAGAAAGTGAGAAGAAAAAAGAAGAAAGTGATGAGAAAATGGAGGTGGATGATAAATTGAATGATAAAGACGACGATAAAAAAATTGACGAGAAGAAAACTTCAGAAGAGAAAATCGACGAAAAGAAAGACGATGATAACAAAGATAAGGATGACAAAGATAAGGATGATAAAGATAAGGATGATAACAAGGAGAAAGATAAGGAAGATAACGATGATAACAAGGAGAACAAGGATGATAGCGCCATGCCATACGAAGACGATACGAATTTTGAACGCTTCAAGCGTGAAGACTATACCCACCTGGGCAGGTGGGTCATGGGTGGGCAGGTGGGTCATGGGTGGGCAGGTGGGTCATGGGTGGGCAGGTGGGTCATGGGTGGGCAGGTGGGTCATGGGTGGGCAGGTGGGTCATGGGTGGGCAGGTGGGTCATGGGTGGGCAGGTGGGTCATGGGTGGGCAGGTGGGTCATGGGTGGGCAGGTGGGTCATGGGTGGGCAGGTGGGTCATGGGTGGGCAGGTGGGTCATGGGTGGGCAGGTGGGTCATGGGTGGGCAGGTGGGTCATGGGTGGGCAGGTGGGTCATGGGTGGGCAGGTGGGTCATGGGTGGGCAGGTGGGTCATGGGTGGGCAGGTGGGTCATGGGTGGGCAGGTGGGTCATGGGTGGGCAGGTGGGTCATGGGTGGGCAGGTGGGTCATGGGTGGGCAGGTGGGTCATGGGTGGGCAGGTGGGTCATGGGTGGGCAGGTGGGTCATGGGTGGGCAGGTGGGTCATGGGTGGGCAGGTGGGTCATGGGTGGGCAGGTGGGTCATGGGTGGGCAGGTGGGTCATGGGTGGGCAGGTGGGTCATGGGTGGGCAGGTGGGTCATGGGTGGGCAGGTGGGTCATGGGTGGGCAGGTGGGTCATGGGTGGGCAGGTGGGTCATGGGTGGGCAGGTGGGTCATGGGTGGGCAGGTGGGTCATGGGTGGGCAGGTGGGTCATGGGTGGGCAGGTGGGTCATGGGTGGGCAGGTGGGTCATGGGTGGGCAGGTGGGTCATGGGTGGGCAGGTGGGTCATGGGTGGGCAGGTGGGTCATGGGTGGGCAGGTGGGTCATGGGTGGGCAGGTGGGTCATGGGTGGGCAGGTGGGTCATGGGTGGGCAGGTGGGTCATGGGTGGGCAGGTGGGTCATGGGTGGGCAGGTGGGTCATGGGTGGGCAGGTGGGTCATGGGTGGGCAGGTGGGTCATGGGTGGGCAGGTGGGTCATGGGTGGGCAGGTGGGTCATGGGTGGGCAGGTGGGTCATGGGTGGGCAGGTGGGTCATGGGTGGGCAGGTGGGTCATGGGTGGGCAGGTGGGTCATGGGTGGGCAGGTGGGTCATGGGTGGGCAGGTGGGTCATGGGTGGGNAAGACCCAGCCCACCCGGCAGGATATAGTGAGTCCCGAACCTAAGACCCAGCCCACCCGGCAGGATATAGTGAGTCCCGAACCTAAGACCCGGCCCACCCGGCAGGATATAGTGAGTCCTGAACCTAAGACCCGGCCCACCCGGCAGGATATAGTGAGTCCTGAACCTAAGACCCGGCCTGTACTGAGTACCTGTCGGGCACGGTCAGCACGTTGAGGGACCGGTAGTCACCGCTGATCCTGTATTGACCTGGGCCTATACTTTCAAAAAAAGTTAAGAGATCGTAAGTTCATCAGCCAATCATTGACGGCCTTTCGAGCAAAATTAACCAATCATAGACAATAAATTAGTGTGTAAATAATTACGTTCACTTAGCGAATTTTGAAATTGTGGCCCTAGAGGCATCAATTCGTCGGCCAAACGTCCAAACTTCCTAATTGCCCGTGTGACATTTCTCGTTGGGCTGCAATGACAGGTTGTTTATTATTGATAATAATAATAATATATATTATCATTATTAATTATTATAATTGTATATTATAATTAATATTATCAATCCCTGATTCTCAGGAGGCAGGGATTGATTAAATTTGAATTTTAGCAAATCATCACCGACACCAACCTGAGTTGGGACTTAGTCGTTGTGCAAGTTAGTTTCTCAATGAGTTCCGGTTTGGTTTTCTCGTAGTAGTCTATGACTGCTAGTTTCAGGGACCTATATTTGCATTCACTTAGTAATTCACGTGGTAATTCACATACAAAGTCGGGTAGGAGTCGGTTAAATACCAAGTCTGGTATCTTCATCTAAATATTCAACCTTCAGAACAAATACACTGGTATATAACAAACACTTATTTATTTATATTAAATTTATTTTATATATATACACTGGTATAAAAAAAAACCTAACCAGTGTAAAGATCGAGTTGCTAATTCGGTAATAAGATTTTTCAAGACAGTCAGAGGCTGGAGTACGATGTGAAGCGAGTTTATTGTTTACAGGTACAGGGTTTTTGATGAACTGAACATGAATATAATTTATCTAACCAGGTTGACAAAATTGAAGGCCCTGGACCGACAGCTTAGCAAAAGCCATGATAATAACTCCGTATAAATAATAACCTTAGATGCTTTATTTACCTTAATAACCATCCATAATCATGTTAACATGTTAAATAACACAATAATGATGATATTAATTAAAATATTATTGATTACAGTCCGCGGTGAAGGCCCTGGACCGACAGCTCAGCAAGAGTCGCGACAAGAACGCGCATCTTCGCCTGCCGCTGCACACTTGCCGACACTGCAACTACCGCACCGACAGCCTCACAGTCATGAACAGACACTTGGAGTGTCCACACATGCTCAACTACACATACAAGTGTAACTTCTGTGTCTTCGAGACCCGCGGTCCACAGGTAACACATGGTAATGCCTGGTAACGCCTGGTAACAGCGGGTAAAATACGCGTAAGGGCTAACGTTTGGGTCTTAGAGATCCGACATTGATAGTGTGGATCTATGGATAGTGTGGTCTGTATGGATAGTGTGGTCTGTATGGATAGTGTGGTCTGTATGGATAGTGTGGACTGTATGGATAGTGTGGTCTGTATGGATAGTGTGGACTGTATGGATAGTGTTCTCTGTATGAACTGTATGGATAATCTGTATGAATCGGTTCGATATCACAGTAAGGCAAACCTGTATAATTACGACTATTGTAATATCATGTGCAGCACAAATACATGTACACAGAGAGATGTACCCAACACATGTACACAATCTACACAATCTATGCTCCAGGTGATCCTGTTCCACATGGAGGCGGAGCACATGGTGCGGGGGCGGCTGGAGCGTAGTTTAGTTATTAGATACATGTACACAACACAGGTACACATGTATACAACACATGTACACATGTATACAACACATGTACACATGTACACATGTACTTATCTACACAATGTGTGCTCCAGGTGATCCTGTTCCACATGGAGGCGGAGCACATGGTGCGGGGGCGGCTGGAGCGTGCCCCAGCGTTCTTCCAGTGCCCGCTCTGTCCCTTCGAGGACAACAACAAGAGCAAGATGACAAGACACTCGTTCTCATGTGCCAAGAAGTTCAGACCTGACAAGAACTGTGAGCTGCTAGAGTGGGAACCTCCTGCCAAGATACCTAAGGTAATGGGGGTAATGGTTACCAGGGTAATGGTAATCAGGGGTAATGGTAATACGAGATGACAAGACACTCGTTCTCATGTGCCAAGAAGTTCAGACCTGACAAGAACTGCGAGCTGCTAGAGTGGGAACCCCCTGCCAAGATACCTAAGGTAATGGGGGTAATGGTTACCTGGGGTAATGGTTACCAGGGGTAATGGTAATACAAGATGACAAGACACTCGTTCTCGTGTGCCAAGAAGTTCAGACCTGACAAGAACTGTGAGCTGCTAGAGTGGGAACCCCCTGCCAAGATACCCAAGGTAATGGGGGTAATGGTTACCTGGGGTAATGGTTACCAGGGGTAATGGTTACCAGGGGTAATGGTGGTAATGGTAATACTAGATGACAATGCCAAGATACCTAAGGTAATTAATGGTTACCAGGAGTAATGGTTACCTGGGGGAATGGTAAGTATCTACCCAAGGTAATGGGGGTAATGGTTACCAGGGTAATGGTAAGTATCTCGGGTAATGCCCGGCAGTCGTATATTACCTATACATTACGGTGTTGTATATAATTATATATAATTACCATTACCCCTGTTGCTAACCTCTTATAAACTTTCCTGTTACCCTTTCATTACCCCTATTTGTTATGTCAGTGACTCCATTACCCCCTTTTTACCCAAATTACCCCCCAATTATCCCCTCTATTACCCTACTGAACCCCATTACCTCCTTTAGCCGCCCTATCACCCCCAAACACCCAACATTACCTCCCCATTACCCCCCTCATTATCCCCCATTTACCCCCATTTTTTACCCAAATTACCCCCCCCACTAACCCCCATTCCCCCCTGTTAACCCCATTATACCCCTGTCAACCCCCATCCCCCCTCANGGGGGGTAATGGGTTATATCAAGGTAATGGAGGGTAATGGGTTATATCAAGGTCTGTCTCTTATACACATCTAGATGTGTATAAGAGACATCTAGAGGGTTGTGCGGGTCTAGGGGGTTGTGGGGTCCAGAGGGTTGTGGGGTTAAAAGGGTTCAAGGCCAAAATTAACCCCTTTTTAACCCCTACAGATAACCTTAACCGGGGTCGGGGTCGGCCTGTGGGGTCGTACAAGTCCCCCCTCCCGACCCCCGCGGTGCGCCCAGGAGCCCCAGGGTCGGGGTTCGCCCAGCAGCGGCCCAGCAACCCCAGCCTGACCCAGACCCAGCAGCTGGCCCTGGCGGGACAGCTCTTCCAGGTGCCTTATTTATCACATGATTTATCACATGATTTATCACCTCATTTATCACCTTATTATCACCTTATTCATCTCAGGGTGCGTACCGGTGATGGAAAATCTGGAAAGTCATGGAATTCGATTTTTTATTTTCCACACCTGGAAAGTCATTGGATTTCATTTCAGGTCATGAAAAGTCATGGAATAAAAGGCGTTTTGATTTCCCTCAATAATGTTGATGTTGGTTAGACTTACATGGGGTGTGCAGCCGTGCACCACCAATTTTGTGCACCAATAAGCCCTGAATCGAACATCTTGGATCTCTCCGGACATCCACCAATCAGCCGTGCACCACTCGGCTTTGTCCTCCTGCGGCCTCGCATTGAACCTGCCGTGCACCACCAGGCCGCGGATCTAATATGACTTCCGGGCATCGTTAAATTACGTAATTTAACGTTCACCGCATCTGAGGTTAGGATTCAGACAGCATAGTTCTGTTCCAAAATTTATCGTCGTTCGACAAGTGGCCGTTCGACCGAGGGCTGGTTCGACCCACGGCCTAGATACGGACGGCTTGGTGGCAGATGTCACATTCGCTGCAAGGCTCCAGTGCGCCACGTCCGAATGGTGCAGAATTTTTTTGCGATACGGCGGACGATGCTAGGCCATTCGATCGCCGGCTTTTTTTCCTAAAGGCTGATTTGTCTAATTTAATTGATTCGTTCTGTCTTGTGGCTTTCGGCTGCCTATATAATTGTGCAGAAGTGTTGAAGGCTACGTTCTGGAAGGCAGGAATCATGATGGTCCATTACATCCAGAGCAGTGGTGATCTTCGGCAGGCGACCCACTGTCCCAATTCGGCAGGCGACCGTTACATGGCCAGGACCGCAATAAAAAAACAGCTTGCAGACAAGAACTCAAGTGCACTGCAAGTTCTCACTTTCAAGACACCAGCGCGTGACTTCATGCAGGCTGTAGTCCAAAAGCTACTGGACAAGAGCCCTATCAGGTGGTAGCCTGGTAGGTATGTCCTTGGTAGGAACCTGAGATGGCTGGTGCCAGAAATCTTCATCAAGAAGGACTGTAAAGAAGCCAACAAGACACAGTTGAAGAACTGTATGTCTCAATTTGCTTGTTGATGCGAAGAGGTTCCCTAACACAAATGTGGATGGTGTTGTGGATGAGATGTGCAACTTTGGACATGAATCACAACACAACATTGAATTGAACGCACAGTTTCAAACATGTTCAACTTCTGATCGACTGGACACTTTTTGGCATGCCATTCTGTCAAAGAGCACCTACAAGATCTGGGCCTATACTCTCAAAAAAGTTAAGAGATCGTAAGTTCATCAGCCAATCATTGACGGCCTTTCAAGCCACTCTTTTAAAAACAGTTAAGAGATCGTAAGTTCATCAGCCAATCATTGACGGCCTTTCAAGCAAAATCCACCAATCACAGACAAGAAAATAGAGCGTAAGTACTTACGTTCATTGACGGCCTTTCAAGCAAAATCCACCAATCACAGACAAGAAAATAGAGCGTAAGTACTTACGTTCACTTAATCATAGACAAGAAAATAGAGCGTAAGTACTTACGTTCACTTAGCGAGTTTTGAAAGTATGGCCCCTGGAATGTAGTGCAGATGCTCATGCTCTTGTCTCATGGCCAAGCCACGGTTAAAAGAGGGTTTTCTTTCAACAAGAAAATCATGACACACAACATGAAAGAACAACAACAACGCTCTTGAACTGAACAATAAGGAAAAAGTTGATGAAATAGCTGCCAGTTGAATGATCAACTTTAGGAGATGAAAGAATATGCCGGTTACTCTTTCAGACATGTTAAACCTGTCGTATACGAGACCTGGAAAATTATACTGATGATCATGGAGAGTCCGGGAATTTTTTTTTTCTAAATATCAGTACGAACCCTGGAGGCTTATTCATCACCTTATTTATCTCCTTATTTATCACCTTATTTATCTCCTTATTTATCACCTTATTTATCACCTTATTTATCACCTTATTCATCACCTTATTCATCACCTTATTCATCACCTTATTCACCACCTTATTCATCACCTTATTCATCACCTTATTTATCACCTTATTTATCACCTTATTTATCACCTTATTCATCACCTTATTTATCACCTTATTCATCCCCTCATTTATCACCTTATTCATCACCTTATTTATCACCTTATTCATCACCTTATTTCAACCCCCCAGGGGTTGCAGAACAACAAGGGGGTTGGGGGCAAGGGGGGTCAGACCCCCAGCATCTCCATCACGGCGCTCCCCCGCGCGGGGGGTCCGACCCCCACGGCGACCCCCACGACCCCCACGGGGGTCAAGACAACCCCTGGCAAGGACGGCAAGCCTTCCTTTGTCATCTGCGAGATATGCGATGGTTATATAAAGGTAATGGGGTAATGGGGGGTAATGGGTTATATCAAGGTAATGGGGGTAATGGGTTATATCAAGGTAATGATTGTAATGGGTGGTAATGGGTTGCGAGATCTGCGATGGTTACATCATGGTAATGGGTTGTTAGTGTGCAGTTATTACCTTCATTAAGGTAATATTTTTTGCCATGCCAGCTTTGACCCAGTTTTCACCCTGCCATGACCCACTTGTTGAACGTGCTCTGACCCACTTATCACCCACCAGGACCTGGAGCAGCTGCGTAACCACTTATCCCCTCTCATGACCCACTTCTCCCCCCTCCATGACCCACTTCTCCCCCCAGGACCTGGAGCAGCTACGTAACCACATGTCCCCTCTCATGACCCACTTCTCCCCCCAGGACCTGGAGCAGCTACGTAACCACATGTCCCCTCTCATGACCCACTTCTCCCCCCAGGACCTGGAGCAGCTACGTAACCACATGTCCCCTCTCATGACCCACTTCTCCCCCCAGGACCTGGAGCAGCTACGTAACCACATGTCCCCTCTCATGACCCACTTCTCCCCCCAGGACCTGGAGCAGCTACGTAACCACATGTCCCCTCTCATGACCCACTTCTCCCCCCAGGACCTGGAGCAGCTACGTAACCACATGTCCCCTCTCATGACCCACTTCTCCCCCCAGGACCTGGAGCAGCTACGTAACCACATGTCCCCTCTCATGACCCACTTCTCCCCCCAGGACCTGGAGCAGCTACGTAACCACATGTCCCCTCTCATGACCCACTTCTCCCCCCAGGACCTGGAGCAGCTACGTAACCACATGTCCCCTCTCATGACCCACTTCTCCCCCCAGGACCTGGAGCAGCTACGTAACCACATGTCCCCTCTCATGACCCACTTCTCCCCCCAGGACCTGGAGCAGCTACGTAACCACATGTCCCCTCTCATGACCCACTTCTCCCCCCAGGACCTGGAGCAGCTACGTAACCACATGTCCCCTCTCATGACCCACTTCTCCCCCCAGGACCTGGAGCAGCTACGTAACCACATGTCCCCTCTCATGACCCACTTCTCCCCCCAGGACCTGGAGCAGCTACGTAACCACATGTCCCCTCTCATGACCCACTTCTCCCCCCAGGACCTGGAGCAGCTACGTAACCACATGTCCCCTCTCATGACCCACTTCTCCCCCCAGGACCTGGAGCAGCTACGTAACCACATGTCCCCTCTCATGACCCACTTCTCCCCCCAGGACCTGGAGCAGCTACGTAACCACATGTCCCCTCTCATGACCCACTTCTCCCCCCAGGACCTGGAGCAGCTACGTAACCACATGTCCCCTCTCATGACCCACTTCTCCCCCCAGGACCTGGAGCAGCTACGTAACCACATGTCCCCTCTCATGACCCACTTCTCCCCCCAGGACCTGGAGCAGCTACGTAACCACATGTCCCCTCTCATGACCCACTTCTCCCCCCAGGACCTGGAGCAGCTACGTAACCACATGTCCCCTCTCATGACCCACTTCTCCCCCCAGGACCTGGAGCAGCTACGTAACCACATGTCCCCTCTCATGACCCACTTCTCCCCCCAGGACCTGTCTCTTATATACATCTAGATGTGTATAAGAGACAGGTAATGGGTGTAATGGGTTATATCAAGGTAATGGGGGTAATGGGTTATATCAAGGTAATGATTGTAATGGGTGGTAATGGGTTGCGAGATCTGCGATGGTTACATCATGGTAATGGGTTGTTAGTGTGCAGTTATTACCTTCATTAAGGTAATATTTTTTGCCATGCCAGCTTTGACCCAGTTTTCACCCTGCCATGACCCACTTGTTGAACGTGCTCTGACCCACTTATCACCCACCAGGACCTGGAGCAGCTGCGTAACCACTTATCCCCTCTCATGACCCACTTCTCCCCCCTCCATGACCCACTTCTCCCCCCAGCATGACCCACTTCTCCCCCC